TGTTGCCCGCTTGCAAGCAGGTAGTGATTGCAGTAGATAAATATTCTATCGACTGAATATTGGTCACGCTTATGGAATAAATAGCTGAAAAACAGTCCCCGACCTGTCATTCGTCCAATTATTGAGCACAGGTTCATTTGAAATGTCAATTTTTGTAAGTTCATACATACATATACTGTATTTAGAACGATGTCTATAAAAAACCCAACCAGGAGAAGTATTTTAAGATAATCAAATTTGCTTATTCTTGTTATAATGTATATGAATTAAACTTTATTTCTGTGCTAGTCGGCCAACTGTCATAATAAGAATAGAAATGGCAATAACAGTCATGTTTGGCTAAATATTATCTTCTTTCACAAACTATCGAAAAAAACTGTCGACATCCACTACGTGACTATTTAAAATTTTATGAAACCTGGCGACCTTGCAAACGTCATTTTATTCTGTCTTCAAAAAAGACAGAGTACAATAAGTTTATTGGTACCTAAGGAAACAAGCTAGACGAGGCTGTGTATCTCTTACGTTGTTGTTAAGTTGTTAAATGTCTAAATTGGGTGAATGTTGATCAAGCACTAATTTAATTGCCTACTTATGCGTACAGGTAAACAAACGGCCGCGTGAAGTAGGACGCAAAGTAAGCGGAACTAAAAAGTGCGGTTGTAAACCGTACTATATTTAACATCCGTCGAGTTGCTGACACCAGCCCTTCACACTATGGTTTATTTATTTATTATATTACATATTGCTTACAGATTAATATCCAAACACAATAGTAATTCTTAAGCTAATATCATATATTGAAATAATAATGTAATCATATTTAATAAAGAATTGATACAAAATAAATTGAATGAAAATTTACAAATGTATATTGCATAAAATAAACTGAATAAAAAATTAGATAAAAATAACAAATCATGGAATTGGACATATCGCAAGTACATTATTAACAATCAAATTTTAAAACATTAACATTATATTAATTATTCGGGATGCACAATACTTATGTGATGCTACTGTCCATGGTCAATGACTCGAGATATCGTCCCGCGAAAACCGTAAAATGGGCTTCCGAGCATGCAAAGAGGTCCAAAGAGGAGTCAAAGTTAAGCATCCGATTGAAGTACTTAAGCGTATTGATGTACACATTAAATACATTAATATGCATTTATAAACAATGCGTGCATGCGCGATACCTGTTTCAGAGTCGTATTCCAGAACTTTACTCAATGCTCAAGTCAGGATTGAGTATGATTTAAAGCATTGAAAATCATACTCAAGTCCCTGCCATTAGGGTCGTATTTCCAGTGCTTGAAATCATACTCAAGTCTGCTCAAATCCTGACTTGAGCATTAAGTAAAGTTCTGGAATACGACCCTTACACTATTTTTATTACTTATTCTTTTTCTTTTATCATTTGTGTTTATGCAATATGTGTCTGTTGCGCCTTCAATTAATTACTATCTCACAGTTTTCCCTCCCCGAGTGTTGCCTGGAAGAGATTGCTATACAGCAATAAGGCCACCTGTTGTATGTGTGATTTTATTTTTTGTATTATTTTGTATTTGTCCCAGTGTGTAAAGAATATTTTGTATAGGCAATATGTTTTTACCAATATTATTAACAGAACGCATAAATAAATTACCGCTTCAATGTCGACTGGAAGTATTTCGTCGGTTACTTCGGTATCCACCACTGTGGCCGCGTCCTTAAAATAAAAACAAACACATCAGTTAATTGCAAGTCGGTTTTATCTTCAGATTGAAACGTTTTAACCACAGAACAATATATATGTGGTAAATAAGTATTCAGTATTGTACTATAAGAAATGTACCGATATTCCAACTAAACGTAAACTCAAATATCCGTAATTCCGAAAACCGTTACGCTTTCAAGTAATTTTGATGGTTTTCAAAAAGACAAAATTAGCTTTTGTTTTGTAATCTTCCTAAAAAATATATTTGACATTATGAAAATTCGAGCCAACGTTAATTCGGGCAAATGTATTTTGTGACTTCTGATAGGTAATCCCAAGCCGTAAAACGAGTACAACAATATTTTGTTAGTAATTGCTAACGTTTAGTAAAAAATCATTTTAAAAATAAAATTAAAATCAAAGCTACTCCATAGTTTCTTTGTTCTAAATATTTCAATTGCTTGTGGTTCGAACAATTGAAAATGACCAAGAAATTTATATAAGCTTCTTGAAATCTACGTAATGGGTCTCTTTCCATGTTTTGCGCATGCAATGTGTAGAAAAAGTTAGCTATTTGATTATTATGTGTGCTTTTGTAATTTATATTTACGATTCATTTATATATAAATTAAATACTATAAAACTGTACAAAATAACACTTTTAAATGAGAACTATGATAACACAATATATTTCTTTAGTGGAAATATAATACAACATCATGTTTTTACACTTTACTGCAGTAATTTTTACAAGTTATTATTATATAGTACTACATGATTGACAACCGCGCTGTCAATCGAACAAACGAAGATTGTTGCACGATTGACGCTCTGTATGCGATTTTAACGCCCTATAGGTGCGGACACTTTTTAGCGTGAACCCGACGTCCATTTATTGGTAGGTCAATGGCTTACACATAATGTTACCTTGAATGAAGTTCATTTATAATTTATCCGTAGACCAACTAATGTAGACGGAACAGTTAATATCAATCATAAAAAAAAATCGTTTATATAAATAAGTGTGCACATTTACAATAGATCAATTACATGCTTGAGGATCTATAAAATTATAACGTTCTAAATGTTTCCATCGCTTGTGGTTCGAACAATTGAAATTGATGTAACAGACCTCTTTATCTCTTGCGCAACTCATAACAAAATAATAACAAAAAATAAATAAAAATAACATAAAAAATTAAAAATAATAACAATAAAAGGAAATAAATTTAAAAAACCAGATTAGTAATAGATAACATACACTACACTTGTTACATCATTAATAGTCACAGGAGTAGCTAGGAAGGGGAGGACGTTTTAGTCTGTAGGCTACTGGGCATATTCCCAGTGGACTCGGAAACCACCATCAGATCCGATAACTTTATGGCATCCATAAGGATTTCTTCCTCCACTTAGAAGGAAAAAAACCAAGAAAGCGAGATCGCGGACGGTCTTCACGTGTGCTTTAAATGACAGCTTCCTATTGAGCATAACTCCTAGGTATTTGAGCATATAGTAACAAAATTCTATATCAATAATTGCAGTCGACACGTCGATAGCGCGTTCCGTTTTGATTCACAACTCTTTCTAGCGGCAACGCGAAATAAGTAATTGTTTTGTGCTAAAGCATGTGCTAGGTTGTGGTGTTATCATTCAAAATAACCTTACCTTAACTTCTTCTTCATTAACGGCGCTTTGTTCAGTAACGGTTTCTAGGACTGGTGCTTGCATCTCCGATTCGTCGTTTTTAAATGGGGGTTTTTCAGGTCTGCTGTGAAATAAACATCTTTAGATTAAGTGTTTT